ATATATATATATATATATATATATACACACATACATATACATATATATTATAGAAAAGGCTTACCAAATTTTACAGAAAAGGCTTAAATATTATAGCGGACCTGTACCGGGCTCCGGAACCAAAATACGGGCCCGATACCATCAAGTCCCNATCCGGGAGATTGTTCGCCTTCATGGTGTGCCGGTATCTATCATTTCGGACCGGGGTACGCAGTTTACCTCGCGCTTCTGGGGAGCAGTTCAGCGAGAGTTGGGCACACGGGTCGAGTTGAGCACAGCATTTCATCCCCAGACGGACGGTCAGTCCGAGCGGACTATTCAAATTTGGGAGGATATGCTCCGGGCTTGCGTTATTGACTTTGGGGCTCGTGAGATCAGTTATTGCCTTTAGCGGAGTTTTCCTACAACAACAGCCACCAGTCGAGCATCCAGATGGCTCCTTACGAGGCCTTATATGGTAGGCGGTTTCGGTCTCCGGTTGGATGGTTTGAGCCGGGAGAGGCTCGGTTGATAGGTACGGATTTGGTTCAGGAGGCCTTGGACAAGGTCAAGATCATTCAGGACAGGCTTCGTTCGGCTCAGTCCAGGCAAAAGAGCTATGCAGATCGTAAGGTTCGAGATGTAGCTTTCATGGTTGGTGAGCGAGTATTGCTCCGAGTGTCGCCTATGAAGGGCGTGATGAGATTTGGGAAGAAGGGCAAGCTTAGCCCTAGGTTCATTGGTCCGTTTGAGATTCTTGATCGAGTGGGAGAGGTGGCTTATAGACTTGCATTGCCGCCCAGCTTATCAGCTGTGCATCCAGTTTTTCATGTATCCATGCTTCGGAGGTATCACGGAGATCCAGCCCACATGTTAGATTTCAGCACTGTCCAGTGGACAAGGATCTGTCTTATGAGGAGGAGCTGGTAGCTATTCTAGACCGGCAGGTTCGTCAGTTGAGATCCAAGAATTTCCCTTCTATTCGTGTTCAGTGGAGAGGTCAGTCTCCTGAGGCATCGACCTGGGAGTCCGAGGAGGATATGCGGAGCCGTTATCCTCATCTATTTCCTGACTCAGGTACTTCTTTCTTTTGTCCGTTCGAGGACGAACGGTTGTTTTAAAGGTGGAGAATGTGACGACCCAAAGGGTCATCACCTGTTTTCTCTCTCCTTTCGTGCTTCCGAGGCCTTGAAAACCTCCTTTTTAGTCGCCTCGATTTGCGTGTGCAGACCGGGCGTGTAGCCGGAAAAGCTTAAATGTGAAATTCTGTGAAAAATGCTAAAACTTGATATCAAAATGAATAAATTTGACTTCGGTCAACGTTTTGGGTAAACGGATCCGGACCCATGATTTGACGGTCCCGGAGGGTTCGTGGAAAAATATGGGACTTGGGCGTATGTCCGGAATCGAATTCCGAGGTCCCAAGCCCGAGAAATAAATTTTTTTAGTAAAATTGTTTTTTTGAAATTTATAAAGGAAATTGAAATGAAAATTTGTTAGAAAACGATGGTATGGGGCTCGTATTTTGGTTCCGGCGCTCGGTACATGTCATATATGTGGTTTAAGCACTTTCTGTAAAGTTTGGTTGAAAACGGACGTCATTTGACGTGTTTCGGACTTAAAACTATAAATTTGAAAGTTTATGAAGTTTGAAGAAAAACTAGTGATTTTGAGGTTTGATTCATTGATTTTGATGTTATTTTGGCAATTTGATCACACGGTGAAGTTCGTAGGACGTTGTCGAGTTAGTGTGTGTGTTTGGTTAGGAGCCCCAAGGGCTCGGGAGTGTTTCGGAGGTGTTCCGGGAAGTTTTAGAACTTAGAAAAGTTGCAGAAATTCTGCAATAGGTGCCCAGGCATTTTCTTCTTCGCGTTCGCACCCTCTCTCCCGCGTTCGCAATGCCTCAGATTTTCCTCCTTCGCGTTCGCGTAACTGTTCTCGCGTTCGCGTAAGTCTACGGTCCCCATTCAGCGCGTTCGCATAAGGCCTCATGCGTTCGCGTAGGCCAAACTTTGGACCCCAGTATTTTTCCTCTTCGCGTTCGCACTTCTCTACTCGCGAACGCGATGGTTGTCAACTTCTGCCCTTCGCGAACGCGACCCTACTGTTGCGAACGCATAGGGTAATTTCACCCAGCGATTTTTAAGTCAGAAAAACAGAACCATTTCGGGACCAACTTCAAATTTCATAACTCCTTCTTCTCCACACCTCTTGGGGCGACTTTTGAAGCGATTCTTCACCAAATCTCCGTGGGTTAGTAATCCTTTACTTGTTTCCTTTCATTTCCTTTCTTGTGTGTGTTATATATACATACACTAACATATACTATAACAAGCTCTATATATATATATATATATATATATATATACACACATACATAAACGCACAAAATCGAATCAAATATCCATTCAATCTATACTTCTCGATCATAGATGTAGTCAAAGCACCGAAGGTAAGTTGACCAAATCCGGTGTGGACCCCCCACCCCCACCCTTGTTGTGTTGACACGGGTGCTGCAAAGATCTTGAAAAGTCTGTGCAACATAGGCCCTAACTACCATTCTTCTTCTTCAAAAAAAAAAAAAAAATCCACTTTTAGGGCTACTTTAATACCACTTTTATATCACAAATTCTACTCAACATCTTCTATACGTGTATTCGCGCATGAATAATGAGTTTTGGGTAGCTGGATTACCTTGAAGAACCCTAGCTTCTTCTCCTTCTTGTGTTCTTGAGTTTTTTCTTTACTAATCTCGATTCTTGTGATATTTTGGTGTTAATAATGGAAATTAATACTTGAAATCAACTCAAAATCACCCAAAGACATCCACCTTGATGGGTATTGAATGCCTTCGGCCAAGCCCTCTTCAAAGCCTCCAAACCCCCTCTTTTAATTTTATCTCATTTTCTCTCTCCCTGGGTATTTGTGGAGCTGGCCTTATGCGCTGTCTATGCCACACATAGATATTTCATTACCTAAGTTCCTGGGAGCTCACTTATGCAGCATATAGCCATCGCACAAGGGTGCCAAATTTTCGAAGGTCTAATGTGATGGGTATGCAGCGGACTCTTAAGTCCCCTGTTCCATCCGAAGTTGGCATGCAATCTTTCTAAGTCTCCAATGCCCCAGCCATGTGGCGCATAGCCAAAGTATTGCAGGGAGCTTGGGGTTTTGTACTTCCAACTTCCATGCTTTGATTCCTTTGGTCTTTCCACCACTCCGAATCACTTTCAACTTGTACCAAGAACATGTCCATGTATTCCTTGTGCGGGCCCCGTACATGCGGGATCGCATTAGTACATCTTTAAAGTTTTAATTGACCCGAATTAACGTCCAAAACCTATGGGGTTTTACATTCTCCCCCACTTAGGAGCATTCGTCCTCGAACGTCGTCATTTTGAACCTTAGGAGAGACCATAGGGGGCCAACACAATCTCATATAACATTGTCAGCTTTACCTTCATTTTATAGGACTTGCCTTTCGCTTGATGGATATCTTCGAATTGCATGACATCCTGGTAATACTTCATTTCAACCTTCTTTTTAGTTGTATGTTTCAAATCTTCATGTATCATACTATTTTCCTGGAACATCATGCCAAAATATTTGGATTGTTTGCATTTAGGTACCTCAGCTCTACCTAATCTCACCTCTATCTCACTCTTCGTATGCTGGCTAAACTATTAGTGCATATATTATTTCTTCTGTTTATCCTAAAACCCTTATTCTTTAGAGTGCTTCTATATGGTGCAAGTTTTTGGTTCACACTTTAGCTAGCGTCATTTATTATCACAATCGTCTGCAATAGCATATGCCATGGGACGTCATCTTGCATACTATTTGTTAGCTCACCTGTAATTAACAAATACGGGTTCAATGCAGATCCTGGTGTTAACTCACGTTTACGAACACTCTTTTGTATGTCCTACCATTGTGCTCACACTTGTGACAGGTATTTCATGCATGTCTTTTATCACATTTATATACTTAAATGTGAATCCCAACATCGACCAAAATTCTTTTTGGCACTTCATCATACGCTTTCTCCTGACCAATTAAATACATTTTATGTCAAGACCCTTCATCCTCATAATTTTCCATCAATTTTCTCAGCAAGATGCATGTTGGCACTCATCACCCTAAAAAGTGAAGTTTTGCCTCTCTGAGGCAACCGTAGCTTTAAATCTATCCAATTGATTTTTAGGACATCAGGTTCAAGAGAAATTACGAGAATTAGGAAGTTGATAGTAAGGTGCATCTGATCAGAAAATTTGAGAAGAAGAAGCTCACTACTTAGCCATAGGAGATGAGATCTGACAGGAGAACCCTTACTTCTGAGGCATGCTACATTACACACTCTAACCTGGCAGTAATGTCACACAGTGGTCTTGGCAAATTCTTTGAAAGAACAACGCATATCTTGAAAAGGCATGTTTTTTTGCTTACATTGCTATGCATGAAGCTTGTCTGATACACCAAAAGACACCCTATTAGTCTGGAACAAGAAAGCACCAAAGAGAGGTTAGACACCCAGAACAAAGTTCCAGCTTATTTTTGGGCAGTATGGAAAGAAAGGAACATGAAACGCAATGAAGGTAGATTTAGGGCTTTACACTGCTAGAAATACATATGCTTACAATTATCATGAATTTACTTAGCTCCATCCATAGCTAAAAGGGAGAGTGATCCTTTCTAGCCTTTTTTTTCCATATACGACTAGCACCCCTTTATGTTTTGTTATGAATAAATATCATACTTATAAAAAAGGAAAGAAAGAAAAAAAAAAGATTAAAAATCAGTTCCTTTCCTTTGCGTGTGTCCCAAGAGGGATGGAGGGGAAAATGAAGTGCAAAATTGTAATGTAAACATGTACATTATGTGGATGTGAATAAATGCTAAAATACTAGGTGATTTCTTTCATCTATCCAAGCCTTATTGTACAGAGTTACCTAGTACCTTGCATAGTTGGCTTAATGCTTGAGTGAAATCTTATTGGTTTTGAAAATGCAACGTGACACCAGGAGAGCAGTGACGTCTTAGGCTCTGAAGTTGCTCCCAAGAAGATCCGCAGATCAAGATGGAGGAAGCGCAAGCAGAGGCAAAAGAAAACTCTAACAATAACTGAGGACGGAAGATGGGAAATGGCAGACAGTGCCATGCAACAACAATGCCAGTCTTCGGAAGACCCAAAATCAAATGTATTGTTGAAACCGGAAGCAACATTCAGGAACCATTGTGGTGTTTACTTTGGTGGACAGAGTAGTAGGCAGTGTCAATCATCTAAGCTATCTAGATCAGACGTTTGGGTGAATCGTGCGGCAACTTTGGCGAATCATAATGGTGGATGCTTCGCTCCACCCAGCCTTCTAAACCAATGTCCACAACAAATTTCCATTCAGGAGAGTATAATTGAGAATTCAAATACTTTGCAATAAGCTCTGTACTAAACGTACCAACATCAAGGCTTTAGATTTTAACTCAAAACAGTTGAAGGCCCTGAAAAGCTCTGTTTACTTTCTGATCAATTGCCGGCGGTAATGGAATCATAGGAATCCCATTACCTTGGGCAAGTGAAGGACTCGGTGTATATGCAAAGTAGCTACATTATGTTTCTTTGTAAACCCTTTTCTTATGATAGGACAATAAAAAAAGAGGATTTCGTCAGTTTACTATACCCTTTTACATAGGAAAAGTAATAAGGAAAAGAGGAATAGCGTAATAGATGGAGTTCAAACAGAGTTGTTATTTAATCGCTGTTGATGTTGAAGTTCCTTAAGAATTTACTGCAAAACAGCCTTAATGAACTCAGCTCAAATGTACCCAGCACATCCTACAATCCTTGCTTTAAAGAGTGCTATGATTTGTGTATTCTCATTTCTCAAATTGTCATCTGGTTGTGAAAAGAGGAATAGCGTGATGAGGTCAATAGTTTTAGTCTTATCTATTGTTAAATATTGTGGGTACACTTTTGTCCTCTGGTCGATGAAGAATATAAGTGTGTTTGGGTTGCCTGTTTTTAATCCTTTTATTCTTTCTTTCTTGTTGAAATTCTTTCAAACGATGTTATAAAATATATAGTACAGTAGTTCTAGTGAAATATCAGTCAAGTTTCAAGTTATAGAACAGCTTAAAACTTGCCTCTTCAGTGTGCGATGTCATCTCTTAAGATCTGCTAATGACTCTTATATTGAAGTGTGTTGCTGAATTCTAAATTTTTTCCAACCAAATCTCATCCCTAAATTACTATATTCTGGTTTAATCTTGGGTAACAAAATGACGGGTGTGTTTGGTAGGAGAGAAAACATAATATCTTTTAATTTTTCCATGTTTGATTGGCTTCCATATTTTGAAAAATATTTTTCTCAAATTGGTAGAGCATTTTCTAAGACTTTTTTTCAACCTTCCCCACCTTATTCCTCACCCTCACCCACCACCTCACCCATCCCAACCCCCAAACCCCCACCCACCCACCACCCCATCCACTCATACCCGCCCCCGCCCCCGCCCCCACACACCCCCATCCAACTCCCGACCTCTACCCCCACACCCTTGGTCCCTCCCACCCCGATTCCCACCCCATCCCCACCCCATAGTATTTGTCTAAATCATGTATTTTTAAAAAAAATATTTTTCGAAAAAAATTTCCACTCATCAACCAAACATTGGGAAATATGTGATAAAATCACTCATTTGTTAGGAAATATTTTCAATACCAAACACACCCTATACCTATCAAAAGAAAATGTTTACTGATCAGAGAAAATGATGGAAAAGATGGACAAATAGTCACTTGTCTGACGGCTAATCAAGAATTCGTCGATGTATAAAAACTATTCAAATTTTAGCGTCTTAGTACAGAAACAAAATTTGAACAATAATATCTTTCGCTAAAACGCGAAAAGTTCTAGCATAGGGTGCTTGACTTCGAAACTTTTACATGTAAAACACCAGCACAGTGAAATTCAAAAAATTCTTGGAGTTCAAGATGTACAATATATACATCAGAAAAATTCATGATATTTGCTTTTTTTATCAGTGTTTAAAGGGTTCATTGGGGCGAGGCATAGTAAAAATGCATCGATGCGATCTAGGAGGTTTAAAGTATCACGTGGCGTAAACCGAATTGTTCTGGAAATATAATTAAGCGTTGGACGATTTTTTTTTTTTTTTTGGCATAAGCGTAGAAAATCTCTCCAAATTAAAATTAAAATTCCTAAACAAGTTCTTAATTTAATACCAAAAATCATTAAGGTCAGCTTGTTAATAAGTTCTAATGAGTAAAAAAAAAACCTAAAAACTGAAGTTTTTGTTAACCCTAATTTTTATTCTCTCTTCGTCTATAAAGGAAAACATGATTAATTTGTAAACAACAAAGCAAAAACAGAACATACTCCATCACTTGCTCTGGTTGGACGCTTATGATTGTAGGTTGTAGTCTCGCTTTTCTTTCTTGTTAAGTTTTGTTGATCTTTCGTGTTAGTCTAGATTTTTACTCAACTTTTTTTATAAAGTTTGATTATGTATACGGTTAAAACCGGACCCACCCGATTTCACTGATTAACCGAGACTAGGGGGATGGATCGAGGATCAGCCCCCTAGCATATCAAACCGAGACATGAGGATAGAGTGCCGAGTTCGGGATTCGAGGTACTTGTTGAGATCGAGACCAATAATGATCGAGGTCGAACGGGATAGGCATCGAGCAAGATCGAATAACGAAAATGTGAGATATCCGTGACTGGTCGAAGATCATGGCGGATATCTCGGAACAGATCAAATCAAGGGCGATAGTTTAGCTAATTATGGGATTTCCTTCTGTAATTAGAATTGTACCATAAATAGGATTCCTCTACTACATAAAGAGGGTTCTAGTCATTTTGTAACCATCTTACATTGGCGCATATCAAAGCAATATATCACATTTTTATCTCTTGCAAGCTCCGTTGTTCAGTTCATATTTTTAATAGTTCGTTCGGTCGGTTCGAGGGCAATTAGCTCAAAGGCCATAATTGTTCATCACACTGGTTTGCTTATTTTTTCTGTAATTTCTATCATTAATTCTTACATTTATCAGCTTGTGCTAAGTGAAATCCCATATCCTTAAAACCACTTATAAATTTAATTGTTATCCGATTTTAAGGGTAAACAGTTTGGCGCCCACCGTGGGGCTAAGGATAATAGTGATTTTTGGTATTAATTCTCATAACACACACTGCTTTACGCTTGTTCTCGTAAGTGTCTTTTGATTTCAGGATCAACATGTCAAACTTTCAAGTAGCACCCACACACAGAGACAACGGCCTTGGTCTTCATGGCGAGAACGAAAACATAGCCGTCCCGTGAAACGGAGTACCTCCAGTCAACCCCGATGGACCGCCGGCCATAGACCCAGTTGATGTCAGCTCCCATATTTCCATTAACGAGAATTTGGGCGTCGACCCTGAAAATAGCGTTTGCAGAGATGCTCGAGCAGCCGATCAAAACGCACAGAGCGGTGAAGAAGGCGGAATTAGCCTTTGAAATGATATTCGAGATGTTGCAAACTCAACAAGCTGCGATAGCACAACTCCAAAATCAAAATCGTGCACCAAGTAGGATCGAGCTCGAGCCATCACTAGAAGTTGTTCACAGAGCCGCATCGGTGCCAAAGAGATCGAATGAATGAGAATCGGAGACTAACCCCGCTATCGTAAAAATTCTCGAGGAACTGATGAAGCGGATCGAGACAGGGGAAAAGAATATCGAGGAAAATGATAAGAAGGTGGAAACTTATAACTCCAGGGTCGACCGAATCCCGGGGGCACCACCGATATTGAAAGGACTTGATTCCAAAAAGTTTGTCCAAAAACCTTTCCGCCCAAGTGCGGCTCCGAAGCAAATCCCAAAGAAGTTCCGTATGCCCGAGATTCTGAAGTATAACAGAACGACAGATCCAAACGAACACGTCACCTCTTATACATGCACCATTAAGGGAAATGACTTGGAAGATGATGAGATCGAATCCGTGTTGTTGAAGAAATACGGAGAAACTCTATCAAAGGATGCTATGATATGGTATCATAATTTGCCACCTAACTTTATTGATTCATTTGCTATGCTTGCAGATTCCTTTGTAAAGGCGCACGCTGGAATTAAGGTTGCAACTAAAAAGTCGGACCTATTCAAGGTAAGGCAAAAAGACAACGAAATGCTCAGGGGAATTCGTATCTCTATTTCAAATGGAACGGATGGATTTGCCACCGGTCACCGACGATTGGGCCGTTCAAGCCTTCACTCAAGGTCTCAACGAATGGAGTTCCATAACTTCTCAACAATTAAAGCATAATTCAATCGAATATCCGGTTGTCACTTGGTCCGATGTACATAATCGATATCAGCCGAAGATTAGGGTCGAAGACGATCAGCTGGGGGCTCCAATTGGTTCAATTTATCCCAACAGGCCCGTGGACAGAGTTAAAAGGGACGTCCATCGGCAACCACGATCAAACAGAGACTGATATCAGCCATACGGGAAAGATCAGAGAAATAGCGGGTCTGGACACAACCCTGTTCGGAATGATAGAAGGAATGATCGGGGACAAAGCTCTTAAGGGCTCATGAGCGAAAGTGGTTTCGATAGGGATGCCGGGTCCAAGAAGCACCTCGACTTTCAGAATATAACTTCAGTGTAGATGCTTCCGCCATAGTATCAGCCATTGGGCTTATCAAAGATACCAGGTGGCCTCGACGGCTCGACCTCTGCAGACCGATCCGACCCAAAGAAACCCAAATCAAATATGCAAATATCATGGTACCCATGGGCACAAAACAGAAGATTGCAAACAACTAAGGGAGGAAAGCCCGGTTGTTCAACGAGGGGCACCTTCGAGAATTCTTAAGTGATCGGGCCAAGAACCACTTCAAAAATAGAGATTCAAACAGGCAAAGAGACCAAGAAGAGCCACAGTATGTCACTCACATGATCGTTGGAGGGGTAGATGTTCCTCAAGGACCAGTATTCAAACGCACCAAGATTACGATCACAAGAGAAAAACGGACTCAGGACTACTTACTGGAAGAGACTTTGTCTTTCAACGATGAGGATCAAGAAGGGATCGAACAACCTCACAACGACGCACTATCTATCCTTATGAATAAAGCTCAAGTTAAACGTGTGTTGATTGATCCAGGTAGCTCGGCCAACATTATCCGATCAAGGGTCGTAGAGCAACTCGGCCTACAAGATCAAATTGTTCCCGCAGCTCGAGTACTTAACGTCTTCAACATGGCAAGTGAAACCACTAAAGGGGAAATTCTTTTGCCAGTAAATGTGGCCGGGACCATCCAAGAAACAAAGTTCCATGTGATCAAGGGTTACATGAGGTACAACGCATTGCTCGGAAGGCCTTGGATTCATAACATGAGGGCAGTACCCTCGACACTTCATCAAGTCCTGAAGTTCCCAACATTGGAAGGAGTCAAAACGGTGTACGGTGAATAACCCGCCACCAAAGAAATGTTTGCAATCGACGAAGTGCTACCGGTATCGGTGCTTTCGTCAACAAAGGGATCAGAGTCGAAAGGAAAGCAGGAAGTCAAATAGCAACCACAGTCACCGGCCTCGACCCGATCGGAGAAGTAGGAAATTTTCGAGGATAATGATTATATGATACCTCGAACCTTCATAATC